ATTTCTTGAGGTAATTGTTTATTTAGTAAATATGCATATATATCTTGTCTGGATCCGAATACAGTAGGTTTCATCACTGTTCATGCCCTATTTTGTTGTTGGAATTTTCTTTCTTTCATTACATTGTTTATGTGTATTAAATAGATTTCTTTTTCATATTTATCTAAGACTTTCTTGTAGTCTTTTATAAATCTGCTGGCTCTCGCAGCAAAGTAGTATTGAGTGTCAAAGCATAGCTTGACTCGTGGTATCTTATTTCCTTTTTTATCTTCAAAGTGTTGTAATTCTTTTTTAATACTTTTCTTTATTTGTACGAGCTTTTCCATATTAGCTCCATAGCATTTATTTGATGCAGAGTTTTCCAATAGTATCATTACTTTGGTTTCTTGTGTTTTTCTAAGTATTTTCTCAAGGTTTAGTTTTATTTGTACTTTTTCTCTTGCATCTTTATCTGTCTATATGTAATACATATGTTTTACTTCCTATTTGTCTTGCGCGCTTTATTTTTTCTATTATTCTGGTTATTTTTTAGTTGAATTTGCCATCATATTGGAGTTTATCATTTATTGATAAGCCCATAGAAGCATGTATTACTATTTTTAATTCTGGTATATCATTTTCATATCCTTCGAGTAATTTGATTAATTTATAATCATTTGTTAGATTTGGTTTGCCTTCTTTTAAGGTTATAAAGTTTTTTATATTCTCATCTGAGTATGATTGTTGTGTTGGTATATAAGTCATGAATGTTTGTATCATCTTACTTCCAGTAGTTATTACTGATTGAACTATTTGTTTTGCGGTACCATCACAGGTAACGCCTATATACTTTTGTCTTTTTAGATTAAGTCTGCATTGTCTAAGAAATATATTATATATGTTGTTTTCTGAAGCAAGTTTATTTTGTTCTGGTTGCTTCTGGATACTAAAGGAGTTTAATTCTTTGGGGGTTTTATTTTTCTTTGTATTACATGCCAGTATGGGATTTGTGTCTTTCCATTTTTTATTAAGTTGGTCTTTGGGATTGTTTTTAACATTGTTTGTTGTAGTGAAAATATTTTTAGTAGAGTAGGTTCGTGTAGCTTGGTTTGTTGGATTTTTTAGAACGTTGGTTTCTTTTTGGAGAGTATTTTTGATATTTGTTTCTCTTTGGAGAATATTTTTAATGTTGTTCTCTGTAGGGCAAATTAATATCAGGTATATGATTGTACTTAACAGCCTACTCAAGCGAAGTAACATTGAGCAACAAGAACCCCAGTGTCAACACAGGATCCACTGTTAGAACTAACTCACTCAAAGGTTGAGACCTCTAAGCCTGAGAAAATGCTAAGTATATACGTTCCCGACCTGTCTTTTGTTTTTTCTACTGAACAAAATGGACTTCAAATCAATCAAAAGATAAAGCAAAAGAGAAACGGAGAAAAGGCGCCCAACGTCAAAAATAATCTCCAAAAAGAAAACAATGTTAAAATTAATTGCCCTACAGAGAACAACATTAAAAATATTCTCCAAAGAGAAACAAATATCAAAAATACTCTCCAAAAAGAAACCAACGTTCTAAAAAATCCAACAAACCAAGCTACACGAACCTACTCTACTAAAAATATTTTCACTACAACAAACAATGTTAAAAACAATCCCAAAGACCAACTTAATAAAAAATGGAAAGACACAAATCCCATACTGGCATGTAATACAAAGAAAAATAAAACCCCCAAAGAATTAAACTCCTTTAGTATCCAGAAGCAACCAGAACAAAATAAACTTGCTTCAGAAAACAACATATATAATATATTTCTTAGACAATGCAGACTTAATCTAAAAAGACAAAAGTATATAGGCGTTACCTGTGATGGTACCGCAAAACAAATAGTTCAATCAGTAATAACTACTGGAAGTAAGATGATACAAACATTCATGACTTATATACCAACACAACAATCATACTCAGATGAGAATATAAAAAACTTTATAACCTTAAAAGAAGGCAAACCAAATCTAACAAATGATTATAAATTAATCAAATTACTCGAAGGATATGAAAATGATATACCAGAATTAAAAATAGTAATACATGCTTCTATGGGCTTATCAATAAATGATAAACTCCAATATGATGGCAAATTCAACTAAAAAATAACCAGAATAATAGAAAAAATAAAGCGCGCAAGACAAATAGGAAGTAAAACATATGTATTACATATAGACAGATAAAGATGCAAGAGAAAAAGTACAAATAAAACTAAACCTTGAGAAAATACTTAGAAAAACACAAGAAACCAAAGTAATGATACTATTGGAAAACTCTGCATCAAATAAATGCTATGGAGCTAATATGGAAAAGCTCGTACAAATAAAGAAAAGTATTAAAAAAGAATTACAACACTTTGAAGATAAAAAAGGAAATAAGATACCACGAGTCAAGCTATGCTTTGACACTCAATACTACTTTGCTGCGAGAGCCAGCAGATTTATAAAAGACTACAAGAAAGTCTTAGATAAATATGAAAAAGAAATCTATTTAATACACATAAACAATGTAATGAAAGAAAGAAAATTCCAACAACAAAATAGGGCATGAACAGTGATGAAACCTACTGTATTCGGATCCAGACAAGATATATATGCATATTTACTAAATAAACAATTACCTCAAGAAAT